TATTATCAGAATCATCATTGTCATCGTTTACATCATTATCATCATCATCATCGTCATCGTCATTGTCATCATCATCATCATCGTCATCGTCATCGTCATTGTCATCATCATCATCATCATCATCATCATCAGGATCACATAGCCTAGATAATTTCTCTAATATACTTAATTTTTGTGGTGAAACATCAATATTTTCTTGTAAGATTAAACTCTTTTTGTCTGATTCATCAGAAGTAAGTAACTTAAGGGATAACTTTGAATTTTCATCTATACATTTTGCTTTAATAACATCGTGTTTTTCACTTACTGTATTCGTTTTGTTTATTTTTTCTGGCAAATTCATTTTTAATTTCTTCACTTCGTTCAAAATTATTTCTGAATTATTTGCATTGTCATTACTATTATCTGTGTCAGAATCACATATAATTTTACATTTCCTTTTGAAACATTTCTTATGAGTATTTTTAACAATTTCAGTATCAGAATTAAAAATAAAACTTGAGTCTGTGCATTCATTCAATTGTAAAATTTCATTTGTATGAGAGCTAACTGCCACTTCTTCAATTTCAGAATTTTGTGGACACTCATCTGTGTTAATATTTACTAATGGTAATTTTTGCACTTCTGGTACAGATACATTTAATTCAGTTTGAGTTTCAATTTCTTTTATGCTTCTGTTTGCAATTTCTTTTATTTCTTCTGTTTGGACATTTGTTTTACATTCTGTTTGGATACTTGCTTCACATTCTGTAACTGTTGTTTTTGCAAATGATTGTGCTATTTTATTGATCACTTGATCTATTCTTTGTAATTTCATGTATGGCTGTTTAATATTTCTTAATAAATCTTCTATAAGCAATTTCTTATTTCTGATATCTGTTTCCTGAGAAGATAATGTATTTGGAGATTTCATATCATTTTTTGAATATAAATGACTTTGTTTATTTATCTTTTTTCTGGTGAATTTTTTACTTTTTTGTATTTTATGCTTTAATTTTGATTTCTTCAATTGTATTGATACATTTTCTACTTGACAGAGAGATGAGTCCTTTTCACACCATTGTTTTATCTCTGATACTGATAATCTTATAACACTTACAACAAGTGGCTTACACAATTTATGCAAAGTCTCTAATATATTTTGTTTCTTTGACAAGTTCTTCGAGTTCTTTTTAGATTTTTTTTGTGTAAAATAAGTCTTCTTTCTCATTTTTCTTTTCTTTTTCACTTTAGGACTTTTAGGCTTTGGTTCTTGCAACGGTGTCATATTAATTGCTTTTATTGAGCAATTATCAACTGAAGAATCACCAAATATTTCCATTTCTGTTAAACATAATTAATTTAACATAAAATTTAGCTTAAATAATAAGTTACAACACAATACAAAATAAAAACTATTGATATACCTTTTTAAAACAAAGATTAGTTTTTAATATCAATAGAACATTGATAATTATCCACCTTTATTTATTAATATTTGTATAAGGTTATAATAGTAATCCTCTTAAAATTTTTTATTTGTGAAAATGCATTTTTTATTTGTAAATCAACTATAATACACTTATGTAAAAATCAATTACTACATTTAAAATAAAGTTCAACACGCATAAAATTCCTGTATGTACAATGCATATACAAAAAAAATATGTATATACATAATTACATATTTTTATACATAATTACATGTTTTTAGATATATAATTATAAAAATATAATGAAATTTGATATATGATTTCCACAATTAAAAAGTCTTTTATTATAACAAAAGAATATGATTCTGAATTCACTTTTTAATTACTTATGAGGAGTTAATTATAAATAGATCTTACCTGAAATTGTCATTAATTTAACAATTTTATAAATGTCTTCTGACTATTCTAAATATTTGAATTTTTCTACGCTTTTAATTGTGTAATATTTATCATTTTAGTAGACGTTATTCTATCAAATAGGCGTTTAATGTAGTAGATATATTAGTAACTGTAAAATGTATACTGCCTCTTATTGGATACTCATCTAACGTCTGTATAGAAAGAAATATCCAATTACAAAGAACTTGAACAGTGTTTTATTCAGAAATGATACATCCCTGCTCAAGTCTTTATTCTGACCAATAGAAGTCAAGTCAAGAGATGTAAATAAAATCACGTGACCAAAATCTAGGGGAATCAGAATCAATTTACAATTCCAAGACATCATAAAATTGAACCGAATGAGATTAAACATCAATACAGATGGAAAGTTTAGTGCAAAATTATTGGTGAGCAATTTAATTTGAACGTTTTCTATGAAATTAACTCTGATGAATGTAATTCACTAGTGACTATTAACCAATGACTGTAATGTCACGTGATCAATTGCGTTTACTTCTGCTGACTCAACTTGTTGAAGTATGCTCATATCTTTTGTTACGTCACATGTTTACATCTACATATACATATATTCCATGTGCACATGCACATAGATACATTGCAGTTTCACGAAGGGCACTTACAGACTTTCGTTCCCTACACTAAATACGCAGTGGACCTACAGTTCTCTGCATTTAAAAAACAATGTTTAGAATATTGACGAATTTATTAGTGATCGAATTGGAAATTTCTTTTGCTCATTAAAGTACACAACGAAAAATGGGAAATTACGTGAGCAAAATTGCATCAATGTCAAACAATGCAGTGCACTCTGTATACCGTGGTCGTAAACGAAAGTGCATTGAGGAGGACGAACTTGATTCTGAATCAGATTACATTGATCGGACGCTTCAAACGCCGAAAAAGTATAAGAATCTTTGATAAATAATTTTACTTTTGTATTGGTTAATCAAGCTTATTACTATAAAATGTCATTATCAACAGCATTAAATAATGTATGCATTATCGAAGAAAACTTCTTAATGTCTTAATTGGCATCTAACAATGTTATATTGTCAGTTAATTGTTGACAACAGTTATCTTTCATTTCAATGATTTGTTACATGTATATCATAATAATTCTTCTAATTCTTACAGAAGAAAATTACTGACAACGGCACAATATATATACAAAACTCTGTTCCAAGAAGAAAAGGGAAGTGATATAACTGTACTCATGTTGGGAAAAGCATGGAGATTACATAAAGTTTATATAAGTCAGGTAGAATCATTATTTTAATATATCACACGAGTATGTGTATTTCATTTTTATGTTAAATTTTTATATATTATTTACTCTTTGCAGAGTCCATATTTTGCAAGTATGTTTTCAGGATCTTGGAGGGAAGCAAATGAAACAGTTATAAGTGTAGAAATCGCTGATCCTAACATCACATTAGATTGTAAATAATTCTTCCTTTTGATTCATATTTTCTTCATTTTGATAATTGAAAGTAAAATTTGTTCTTAATCCTATATATTTTCAGCTCTTTTGACAGTCTTTGGTTCATTTTACCAGGATGAAGTCAGTTTAGAACCAAAAGATGTCATATCAATTTTGGCTACCTCTACATTATTTCAATTGCAAGGATTAATTGATCAATGTACAGATATTATGGTAGAGACAACAAATATAAAGACAGTTGTCCCTTACTATAATGCCGCTGTATCTTATGGTGTACCAGTAGTAAAAACTGCAGCAAAACGGTGGTTAGAAGTGAATCTTTTAGGATATGGATGGTTACATCCTACTTTTTTAAAAGAGATAACACCTGACTTGATGGCTGAGTTAATTGCTAGTCCTGACTTAATTGCTATGCAAACAGAATTTTGCATTTATATGATGCTACGTGTATGGTGAGTAGTGAAATACTGAAACAGTTATTTAAAGTTAAAAATATTTTTAAATAGGATTGTTATATAATTATAAATTGTATTTTAGGTTATTTGTTCATGTACACAATAAAGAAGAAACACTTCAAATTGATGAATATTTCAGAAATCATAATTGGATAAAACCATTCCTTACAACAGAAGAAGGCAAAGAATTTGCAGCACCTTTTAAAGCCCTAAGAATGAAATATCTTTTACTACATGATCAGGATGTAAAAATTTTATATAGTGACAATCTAATACCACACGAGTGGTTGCATAATGCATATAAAGAGCAATGGTTACATTTACTAAGAATAGATGCAAATAAAGATCGAGGGTAAGTCATGAAGGTGTTACTTTTTCTAAATGTATCTATGATCTATGCTTAGGTCGATGGACATAGTAAAGAGTCTCAAATATGCCTCCTTTTTTCTTCCCTTCTTTTTTGCAACCAGTTTTGTGGACAGAATTTTCACTTTAAAAAATCTACTCCCACGTTTGTTTCGCTTTAGGTATTTCTGAGAATTATTTTATTTGTAATAATTATTGTAATAAATAACGACTGAAGACAAGTATAAAGTATAAATTTTTCTTCTTGTTTTAACTATTTTAGACCAAAACAAATGAGTGAAGAAGAATTCGCTCGAGAATGTTTCCGTTGCGGAAGATGCATTGAAAAGGCTGGTGAGCATATTTGGAGATGGACAGCATTTCATTTTGGATTAGATTTGGTGGTGTGCTTGGATAGTACTACTTTGAGAATTAAAAGGAATCATAGATTAGAGACAGATCATATAAAAGCTAATCATGGCAAGCACAATATAATTTTAAAGTTAGTATTTGTTTTAAATTGTAATCTTTCAAATGATAATGTTTAAATTAAAATTTTGAAAAAAATTACTTTCCAGAGTAAATCTAATTTCATTGGATGAGCAACGTCAAGTAAAACACATTCAAAGTTCGGGTATGCTTAGGTTATCACTTCATAAGAACGAAGAAGTAAGTAACATTTATGAATTTTTTAATCTTAAAAACTTATTAAAATCGCTAAGAAACTGAGTTTACATTTTAGAAACAAGTAATGTCCCTGGACAAACAACTTACTTATCCTTTGTATATATCAGTCAACATGCAAGTAGTCACACCATTTGTATCAACAGAAGAGGAAAAATCAGCTGATATAGTTATATTTTCAGATACTTAGCACACTAAACATTCAATGTTTCCAAAACATTCGAATTGAATTTAACGACGTACGCTTACCTCAGATAATAATCCAGCTGTTCCAATTTATAATATCCAAGTACGACCAAGTACTATAAATTTTGTTATTCACCCACGCGACGTTTATATTGTGGAGATGCTAATTTCTGATTAAAACTTTTATAAACTCAAGAATTTCTAGTCGACTAAATGGAATTAAAATATTAGTATATATGAAGAAAAATTTCATTTCTTCTCTTTGTACTTTTCAGATATATCATAATTCAGATACTTATTTTTTCTAACTTATTTTTCTAAAATTTTTTTCTAATTTATTATTTATAAAAATATATTTAGGCTGTTAAAAAAGTTGGCTAATTTTTTGGCGATGTTAATCATAAAAATTTTATTTTTATTATCTCTAAGTAATTAAATATCAAATTTTCTAAAAGAAACATTTGTCATACGAAATACCACAGTATTAGACATTTGCTTTCACACTAGCACTTATGCATTTATATATTTATATGCCATGATGACACTAGTAACAAAATAGGCTAGTTTTTCAATCGATAATTTTATATATTCATAGTGAAGATAAAGATGTAATTGTGTAAGTTAATTCATAGACACGCTGATCGAGTGCTTCTGTGCTTCCGGCCAGCTATCGAAACATCGACCTTCGTGCCTTATGAATGCCAATTGAAAACTAAAAATTAATATTACATATAAACAAATGCAAATACTGTTTTTATTACTAATTAACAGATTTTTATACAAAATTTTCTACTTTTTGAAAGCTGTTATTACATAATATCGAGAACATTTTCAATCTAAAACGATACGTAATTACGTAAATAACGTTCCTCTGATTTTGCAATCAATTATATATATTATATATGGTGCTATCATCTAATATGCGCGAAGTTTTACTTTTTACTTATTACTATTATACAGAGATTGTTACATAAAAAAAGCCTAGCAGTTAAGATTTTTCTACACTTAATACGCATTATTTGCTTTAAATTAACTTCTCAATATATAATAATATGTTGTATTTTATATACCATTATCATTGTGATTTATTACTTACCTTTTCTAGCGATTCACATGCATAATTATATAACTGCTTATTCAGTTCGTTATAGTAACAAATATTGAAATACATGAATGTACGATAATTTACATACAAAAACATACTGCGCTATATAAGCATTTTCTTTGTCTTTTAGTTTCATTATAAATGAAGGTCATATGAGTCAATGATACATCGCAAAAGAAAATATCATTTATTTCTGTACATTAACATCGTAATTGCTGAATAATAGATCAGTTAACTTGCAAGGTTCCTGATACATGAAATATAATTTTCATTCTGTCTGTTCGGTTTTTTTTTTTTTTTTTATAACCATTCAACACTTTATTGGCAGAATATTCTCTGTACATAATGATCAATGCGTACAATGCAACATTAATAGAATACGATAATAAATATTACAATAAAACTGAAATATTACAATTATGACCTGGCATGTTTTGTTAATTAAATATATTTATGTAACACAAAATCAGAAAATATGCAAACTATTTAAATGATTTCCTTTTTTTTTTCTTTCCTCTTTTACTTATTTTTTTCGATATGCTTGTATACGGGGGCAGTGTTGCCAGTAATTTTACTTCATGAAGTGAATATGGGCGGATGATATGTATGAAAATTGATTAAATGTGTTTCATATAAACAATTTGCTCGGAGAAACGGTTTTCGTTACATTCCGCTCGATGTTAGGTAAAATTTCTATGATGTGCCACGGGCACGCTAGAAGGAAAGAGAAGACTAAGAAAACGTATCATTAATGTTTGTTTTTATTCACTATTGACAGTTTCCTATGGCCATCGCTGATCAGGATATACATTGAACGAAGTATAGTGACGAAAAATTTCATTGATATAGTGTCTATCGCAATATGATCGCGTATTTCTTTGCTTATTGCGAATATCGCTGTTTTTTTCCTTTCTGTAATAGACTATAACAATTTTATGTACTGTCATGCACTAATTTGTTAGTTGGAACAATTCGAGACAAAATTCTAATCTCTCGAGTCTGACTCCGAGATTGATTTAAA